AAAGGGAAATTTCCCTTTTTTTGGGGTTTTTTCAAACCCAGGGAGAAAAAAAAATAATTTTTTTAAAATTTTTTTTTTTTTTTGAGTTAACAGTTACTGGAGTCTGATCATCTTCCAGTATCTATTGTTACTGTTTCTTTTCAGCTTTCTTTTCCTGTAATAAACAGTCTGGTATGAAATGGTGTACTTGGCCAAATTCTATAGTTCTAAACGGTTTCCAGTGATGTACAACTTTGCCTCATAATATTGGCTGTTTTTACAGTTCCACCCATCTCTATCTACTAAATTCACCAAATATCAACAATTGCCTGAAGGTTACATAAAGCAGAATGAAGAGCAATTTATATCTGTGTGTCTCTTTGTGATCTATTGGGGAAGGCCTCAAGATATTCTGGTTTCCTCTTATTTAAATATAATTGATGGGGAAATGTCTATAGAGAATCTCAGTCATCCAGGTCATGGTGTTTTTTCAGGAGGCAACTGGACTTTCTTTGAAGACGTTTTGCTTCTCGTTGAAGAAGCTTCTTCAGTTCTGACTGGATGGTGGTGAATGGAAGGATTGATACTCCTTGCAGACAGCTGCATTCTCTTAGTGAGTAGTTGAGGTTTATCGGTGTCATCAGGGTCACCTGAGGAGTGCAATTGGCTGTGGAGCCTTTTTGGAACTGTTGAAAGGACTGGATGATGTTGCATCCCCCCCCTCTGTTGAGAGAGGGCTGTTCAATTTTGACATAGATGACATAGAGGGCAGTGAGCCATGTGCAGATCTGTACATTGGGGAAACAAAACAACCACTTCATAAGCACATGGCACAACATAAGAGAACAAAGCCATCAGGACAAGATTCAGCAGGCCATCTGCATTTAAAAGACAATGGCCACTCACAGCATAGTTCACATTTTGGACAGAGAAAAACCAGAAAGTCAAAGGAAAAACAGGAAGTCCATTGCCTCTTGAAAAACTTACTTAACTGTAAGTACAGGTAAGTCCTCAACTTGCAACCACAACTAAGCCCCAAATTTTTGTTGTTGAGTGAGACAGTTGTTTAATGAGTTTTGCCCCATTTTATGAATTTCCATTCCATAGTTGTTAAGTCACTGCACTTGTTGTTACTAATGCAGTTGCTAAGTCAATCTGGCTTCCCCATCAATTTTGTTTATCAGACCGTCACAAAAAGTGATCACATGACCCCGGGACACTTCAACTGAGAGCCGAGGTGGCGCAGTGGTTAGGGTGCAGTACTGCAGGCCACTTCAGCTCACTGTTATCTGCAGTTCAGCA